TAGAACTGCCCCTTCATAGTGACCCTATGTGACAAAGTAGAACTGCCCTGTAGGGTTTTCTAGGCTGTAATTTTCACGGGAGCAGATCACTAGGTCTTTTCTCCTGCAGGGCCGCTGGTGTGAACCACAGACCTTTTGGTTAGCAGCCAAGCACTTAATCACTGTGCCACCGGGACCCTTCTTCCCTATGCTGGATGGACTATTTGCAGTTTTTCTAGCCTGTTAAAACTCCTGTGCACCCCAGGCCCCAGGGACCGCTCTGTGGACACCATTGTTGCGTGATGGCCCGTGGTTATTTCCTGTCTTAGCTGGAAGGTGGTTGTTCATGTCTCCACGTAATATACATAGCACCAGAAATGACTTGGTTTTATATTTGCTAAACATTTGTACTTTTATATACCACCAGTATTCTTTAGAATCTTTTCTGGGTTTTTTTTTTTTTTCTTTTAATTAACAAGATTTTAACCAACACAAGAACAATGCCTATCTACATGTGGTCCCTTTGCCACAAATAGTGGTTGTTGCTAAAAAGCAAGAGTCACATCCCCTGTCCCCTCTGCCCCTCCCAAAAAAAAAAAAATTAAAAACAATATTGTTTCAGGATATTCTGAAGTTGAAATCTGCATTTCCATTCCTGTTGCCACAAGCACTGTCCAGCTGAGACCGTGCCTCCCTTTCGCTTCGCGGTCTCCGTCTGTCGTACTGTTTTGTGGACAGAGGGGAGCTGGGGGAGGAGAGCCTGGGGGCATGTGCCCATCCCGGCCTTGGGCGAGGAGGGCAGGGTGGACCCCAGACGCCTCCATCGCAACCTCCAGGGCTTTGCTGGCTCTCAGGTTGGACAGCTGCACAGAATTGGATTCTCGGGCTCACTGTGGTGGGGTCCCACCCAGCTGATCTGGCCACTGTCCCCCCCCCCCGTAAACCCTGGGGAGGGGGTGTTTGCACAGCAGCCCCCAGGAGCCCGCTGACCATGGCTTTCCTGGCTCTGGGTGCCCAAGTGCCTCGTAGGAGTTGTTCCCCTCCCTCCCTCTTTTTCTGCGGTGACAGAAAGCCCCTGCCCTCCTGGAGCATGGATTCTAGATGGTGGCCCACGACAAAGTATATGGCAACCTGTGAGAGCCGGAATGCGACGGGACGGCCTGGTTTTCCCAGGTCTGACGAGTTTTCTGCCTTTGACAAGGTGCAGTCTTACCATTTTTCTCTCACTTGCTTTAATGGAGAATGTTTGTGATTTCCTTCTCTGACAGGTTTCCGCCTTCGGCAGCTCCAGCTCTCGCAGGTTTGACTGTATATGCTCTGTCTGTGGTCACAAGTTCTCCGAAACTAGGTCTCAGCTCAGTGAAATGAGGGCGATGTCAGCAACTTGCCCCCTTCTCATCTCTGCAGCCTGTCACCACCTTCACCTCCTCATCGGCCTTTCCGGATCCACACTGTCCTGGAGTCTGGCGAGGTCACGTCCGGCCCTCACCACCTCGAGGGATTAGGTGGCGGCGGGGAAGGAGAGGGGTCCCTGGGTGGTGCAGACGCTCAAGTGCTCAGCTGCTAACCAAAATGGTGGTGGTTCAAATCCACCCGAGACGCCTTGGAAGACAGACCTGGCAATCTGCTTCCAAAAGATCACAGCCTTGAAACCCTGTTAGTTGTCTAGTGCTGCTATATCAGAAATACCACAAGTGGACGGCTTTAACAAACAGAAATGTATTCTCTCACAGTCTAGGAGACTGGAAGTCCAGATTCAGGGCTCCAGCTCCAGGGGAAGGCTTTCTGTCTTGGTTGGCTCTGGGGGAAGATCCTTGTCATCAGTCTTCCCCTGGTCAAGGAGTTTCTCAGCACAGGGACCCTGGATCCAAAGGACATGCTTCGCTCCTGGAGTTTCTTGGTGGTAGGAGGTCCCTCTCCTCTCTGCTCCCTTCTCTCTTTTATATCTCAAGAGATTGACTCAAGATACCAACTAATCCTGTAGATTGAGTCCTGCCTCATTAACATAATTACTTCTAATCCTGCCTCATTAACATAACCAAACCAAAACCCATTGCTGTCGAGTCGATTCCGACTCATAGCGACCCGGTAGGACAGAGCAGAACTGCCCAATAGGGTTTCCAAGGAGCAGCTGGTGGATTCGAACTGCCGACCTTTTGGTTAGCAGCCTAACGCCTACCCAGAGTGCCACCAGGGCTCCATTAGCATCATAGAGGTAGGATTCACAACACAGGATAATCACATCAGATCACAAAATGGATACACACAATACTGGGAATCATGGCCTAGCCAAGTGACACATATTTTGGGGGGACACAATTTGTGACACTTATGGAGCACAGTTCTACTCTGCACACATGGGGTCGCCATGAGTCGGAACTGACCGACGGCAGTGAGTTTGGTTTTTTTGGTTTGCGGGAAGGAGAGTCTGACCCTGGAGAACAGATGGTGCGCTGTCTGCACCCAGACTTACAACATCCACTGAACTGCAGCTGCTTCCAATGCTGCGCTAAAATGAAACCCAGCACCACCCGCCCGCGCGCAGTGGGCGGGGCAGGCGGGCTGCGTGGGCCCTGTGGTGCGATGCCCTCTCCCGCCCCAGGGGCAGGCTGGCGGGCACTGGCTGGTGGGCCAGATCCTTCACGAATCTTAGATCAGGGATCACATCGACTCAACTCCAGAACGTGACCCTTCCTGCCAAATTAAAGATGTTTCTCGGCAGCATTTTGAGGCTGATTCTCACCCCTCAGCTTGGGCTCTGCCTGCCCGGCTGCCCATGGGTGTCCGATGCCCCCTCCAGGGGAGACGCTTCCCTGGACTGTGACTTGTAGAGGCTTGGGGAGTTGGAGGTGTGACACAGGCCTCACATGACCGCCATCAGCCAGTGTGGCCGGGAAGACACTGCCCTTCCTCTAAGTGGTGGGCATCAGGAGAAAGGATAGAGCTTCTCAGGCCCTCCCTGTGCCCCCCTAAAACAGGTGCGGGGGCAAAAACATGACAGAAGTGATAGTTTAAGCTAAAACAGGGCAGAGGAAAGATTCAAGCCAGTTGCTGTCAGAGTAGAACTGTGCCCCATCGGGTTTTCAATGACTGAATTTCAGGAATAGGTTGCCAGGCCTTTCTTCCAAGGCACCTCTGGGGGTGGACTCAAACCACCATCCTTTCTGTTAGCAGCCAACCACTTAACCATTTGCAACACGCAAGGACTCCCAGTAAAGATTAGTGAACAATTTTTTTAAATCTTAATTCATAGGTATTTTATTTTTCAGCCATTCCCAAAGCAAACATAAGCAGTTAAGTAAGCAAGTGAAGTGTGCCAAATAAAATCAGCCATACTTGGGACTACTCTCCTATGCAAAGGGGCCGTTTGCAGGCTGCTACTCACTGCATATTATCGGCCTCTTGGAGACTCATTCTTGACCCAGTGGCGCGTTTCTGCTACTTGTGAACCGGCTTTAAGGAGACAAGTGTGTGTCCAGGTTGTTTGCTGTCACCGGTTCACTCAGCTGGGTCCATCGTTCACTGGTGTCAGCTCTGCCGTTGAGGGAGCTGTCTCCGGGGGACACTTGTGGGCTCATTGCTGATGTCAGCTGATGCCATGGGGGCCCCCATCACGGGCCAGTTCCCAGAGGAAAGCAGGGAGGGTCTGGGAGGCGGAGGGGGCCGAGGCGGAGGGGCCCCCTGGTTGCAGCGGCTGCTCAGATCCGGAGCCTCTTCCTGGTTCCTCTTCCGAGCTGGGAGCCAGGGGGGTCCCCGGCGGGCCACTGTGGCGCCGTGGGTGCCTCCGGACGCGGGGGGGGAGGTTGAGGAAGTGATGCCACGGACAGGTTGGGTGGTGCTGGGGGTGGTTCCTGTGGACAGAGCACAGCAGAAGGCAGGCATCAAAGGAGCTGGGGCACACACCCGCCTGCCTGGAGCCTCACCCAGGAGCCTGAGGGCTCTGCCCGCGGGGAGAGCCCGGGGAGGGTCGTTCCCAGGCCACAGAGGTGGCCCGTGGGGAGAGATCTACGAAAAGAGTCAGTGCTTTGTCACGAACTAGACCTCGGAGACAGGCTGCTGCCTGCCTGTCAGTTTATCATACGGTGGTGGCTTTCCTGTTGCTGTGATGCTGGAAGCTCTGCCACCGGTATTTCAGATGCCAGCAGGGTCACCCCTGGGGGACAGGTTTCAGCGGAGCTTCCAGACTAAGCAGACTAAGAAAAAGGCCTGGTGATCTACTTCCGAAAATCAGCCATTGAAAACCCTATGGATGACAACACAATGTCCGATATAGTGCCAGAAGGTGAGCCCCCTAGGTTGGCAGGCACTCAAAGTACACAGTGGCCGCAACAATGGACTCGAGTGTACCAATGATCATGAAGATGGTGCAGGACCGGGCAACGTTTCCGTCTGTTGTGTGTGAGGTCACCGTGAGTCGGAGCAGACTCAACGGCCGCTAACAACAGACCTCTGAGGTCATTCACAGTGGGGGTTTAGGGAGCAGGTTTGACCTTCCATCCACCCACCTGCTGGAGTATAGCACATTTCCTATCCGTGTCTGCTCGGGAGAACTCTGTCTTCCCTGGCTGGATTTTCTTGCTCAGGGGGTGCCAAGGCAGTGGACACAGCGCCTGGTGAGCCCACTTCCCGCCTGACTGCAGCTTCGTCAGTTAAATGGGGACAATAATTGCCTCCCAGGTTATCATCAGAGGAGGCCAGTTGGTGTGCTCCCAGCTGTCCAAGCTGGACAGCATCATTTAGATGTGGTAGTAATACCATCATCAGCTGAGGCGAGGTGGTGTGCTCACAGCTGTCATCCAAGCTGGACAGCAGCATTTAGGTGTGGTAGTAATACCATCATCAGATGAGGTGAGATGGTGTGCTCACAGCTGTCCATCCAAGCTGGACAGTCTCATTTAGATGTGGTAGTAATACTATCATCAGATGAGGCGAGGTGGTGTATTCACAGCTGTCTGTCCAAACTGGACAGTATTATTTAGATGTGGCCATAATACCAACAGGGGTCCCTGGGTGGCGAAAACAGTCAAGCAGTCAGAACTGGCCAAAAGTTGGCAGTTCGAGTCTACCCAGAGGTGCCTCGGAAGAAAGGCCTGGGGATCTACTTCTGAAAAATCAGCCATTGAAAACCCTAAGGATCACAGTGCTACTCTGGCACACATGGGGTTGCCAGGAACTGGGGTTGGCTGTGACAACAGCTTGGTTGGTTGATTTCTAACACCAACATGAGTGAGGAGCTGTTGAGAAGGCAGCCTGCCACAGCACAGCGCCTCCTTTCAAATGGCACGCATGTGGAGCAGCCTTTCTCTCTCTTTCCTTTTTTTTTTTAAACCTGGAGTGAGCGTCTCCTCGGGGACAGCCAGCATTCTCTTTCCTAACCCGTACCCAGGATCCATTGGGCTGCACTGAGCGTCCCGGGTCCGTTACACAGTCCTCCACAGCGTTTCCATCAGTGGTCTGCGCAGCCATCAGGACGACAACAACAGCAAACAACCAAACCCGTTGCCGTGGAGTCGATTCTGACTCGTAGCAACCCTACAGGACAGAGTAGAACTGCCCCATAGGGTTTCCAAGGAGAAGCTGATGGATTTGAACTGCTGACCTTTTGGTGAGCAGCCGAGCTCTTAACCACTGAACAACACCATAAATTTGCCGTTATATTGCAGCCTCCTCGGGTGCCATCAGCTGTGGTGGGGATAGAGGGGGGGGACAGGGTTCCTTGTAAGAGTTGCCGTTAGGACAGCAGAATCGGTGGGTGGGGGGAGATGAAGCTAGAAGGGAAAATTGGATGTGTCTAACGCAGGAGAAATAATATATGAGGAGCCAGGGCTGGGGTTATGACCTGAATCTCCTAGCTCTGACCTCCAGTTTAACCACTAAAGCACACAGTGAAAACTGAACCAACAGCCATCAAGTCAATTCTGACGCCTGGTGACCCCACGTGTGCCAGAGCAGAACTGTGCTCCATAGGGTTTTCTTTTCTTTTTATTAAGTTTTTGGTGAAAGTTTACACAGCAAGTTAGGTTTCCATTTGACAATCTCTGCACAAATTGTCCAGTGACATTACTTACATTTATCACAATGTGTCAACATTCTCTTTAATTGCGTTCAGTTTGTTCCCTTTCCAGGACTCTAGTTTCCCTGCCCCCTCATCATCTCATCTTTGCTTTTGAGCAACTGTTGACCTCTTGGTCTCATACTGCTGGTTCTTAAGTACCGCACCAATCTTACGGGTAATAGCCTTCATTCTGTGTGTTGCTCTGCTATTTGGCTGAAAGGTGGGTGATCGCAGGAGACAGGCTCAGTTCCAGGTTTAGGGTGTCTCAGGGCGATAGTCTCAGGGAGTCTTCTGCCCTCTGCTGTTTCGGTTTGTCTGGGCTTTTTTTTAAGAATTTGAGTTCTGCTCCACATGTTTCTCCCATTCTATCCGGGACCGTCTATTTTAACCCCGGGCAGGACGGTCAGTGGTGGCAGCCGGGCACCATCTAGTTCTTCTGGTCTCAGAATAGATGAGATTGTGGCTCATGTAGACTTGTTTCTTCCCTGAGCTTTCGGTTACCTTGTTTTGCTCCTGGCAAGTAGAAACCTGTAGTTGTATCTTAGGTGGCTGCTTACAAGCTTTTAAGACCCCAGATGCTTCTCACTTCATTAGGATGCAGATCATGATTTTTGTGAACTGTGTTACGCCAATTGACTGCGTTGTCCCATGAGACTGTGGTCCTAAGCTTTCAAACCCAGAAAACCAATACTGGAAGGTGTTTAGTTATGTTGATGGAGTATCCGGATTTGTGTCTTCAATGAATATATGTGCCTGCACGCACATATTTGTTTTACACATACCTATAGATACTTCAGGGAGCCCTGGTGGCACAATGGTTAAAGTGCTCAGCTGCTAACCAAAAGTTCAGTGGTTTGAACCCATCAGCCGCTCCACAGGAGAAGGATGTGGCAGTCTGCTGCAGTAAAGATTTACAGCCTTGGAAACCCTATGGGGCAGTTCCTATAGGATCACTATGAGTCGGAATCGACAGCAGTGCGTTTGGGTTGTGTATAGATACTTCTAACTCTTCTCACCTATGGACACATATGCACGTACTCATATACAAATATGCCTCTACCCCTTTGTATGTGCTCAAACACTCATTTTTACTTTGCTTGTGCTGTGCTCACTACATCCACATTCAGTGCTGATATTCCCATCACCAAAAGAATAACAAGTCTCTACGATCTAAAGTGTACTTTGCCCTCTCCCTCCTCTCCCTGGTAACCACCAGTGAAGACTGGTCTCTCTCTCTATCTCTATTCTTGTCTTCCTATAAGAGAGGATCATACAACATTTGTCCTTATATGCTTGACTTATTTCACTTAGCATGATGCCCTCCGGGTTCGTCCATGTTATAATGTTTGGTGCACTCATTGTTCTTTATGGTTGCGTAGTATTCCATTGTACGTATGCACCACAATTTTCTTACCCATTTGTCCTTTGATGGGCACTTTGGTTGTTTCCATTTATTTGCAATTGTGAATAAAGCAGCAATGAACATAGGTGTGCATATGTCTGTTCATGTCATCATTTTTAGGAGCAGATTTGCCCAATGCAGTGTGTTTTTTGATTTTTTGACTGCTGCTCCCATGGGTGTTGATTGTGTATTCAAGTAAAATGAAATCCTTGACAACTTAAATCTTTTCTCCCTTTATCATGATGTTGCTTATTGATCTAGTTGTGAGGATTTTTGTTTTCTTTAAGTTGAAGTGTAATCCATATGAAGTTTGATCTTCATCAGTAAGTGCTTCAGGTCCTCTTCACTTTCAGCAAGCAAGGTTGTGTCATCTGCATAACACAGGTTTCTGGGGAGAAATCCTCACTGGTTCCTATGAAAGACCCTTGATATGTTATGTTGTATTTTTCTCTTGCTGCTTTCAGAATTCTTTCCTTGTCTTTGGTTTTCAAGAGTTTTGTTATGATAATTATCATAAAGCGCGGAGTTGATCTTTTCGTGCCTCTTGTGATTGGGGTTCATGTAGCTTCCTGTAAGTGGGCTCGGCTCTCTGCTCAGGTCTGGGAAATTCTCTCTGATTATCTCTTGGGAAATTCTTTCTATGCCTTTATTGTTAGGGTGCTCTGGGATTCCATTAATTCTGTTGTTAAATTTCTTGACTGAACGCCATATTTCCATTTGAGTTTGTTTGCTTTTCTTTATTCTTGTCTCTTGTTTCTCTTGAGACTCGATAAGTTTAGTTATTTATTTTCTAATTCACTTCTGTTTGTTTCCCTTGCTTTTTCTAATTCAGTTGCTTTGTTCTTCAGTTCCAGTAATTCTCTTTGGCTTTTTTCTTTGTTTGTCTTTTGATGTTTTTTATTTCCTTGTTGAGTCTCTCATTTTGTTCCTCCATTTGTTTCCTGATCTCTGCTATTTTGTTTTCTGTGTGCTTTTTGCTTTCTTCAAACATAATCAGCACCACAGTCTGAAAATTAACAATTCTTTGCGTTAGTCTGGCCTCCGTAGGAGAATTTCCTCTTCTTCGTGTTATGCTTTTGATTGGTCCTTCTTCTCTTGTGATTTTGTGTTTTACTCTTTTTGTTGAACTTGGGCCAGTTTGTTATCTTTTTTTTTAACTTAAATTTTGTATTCTGGTCTTTGTGGGAAAATTTTCTGATTGGGCGCCCTGGTGGCGCGGCAGCCAAGCACCCGACTGCCAGCCGAAAAGCCTAAGCCTGCCTGCACCAGCCGCTCTGTGTGACAGAGATGTGGCAGCTTGCCTCTGCAAAGACTCATAACCCCAGGGGCAGCTCCATTCTGCCCCAGAGGGTCGCTATGAGTCAGAATTGACCCAGTGGCAGCGGGATTGGTATCTTCTCCTGAGAACCACTGGAAGGCACTCTGGACCTTAGGTTTTTTTTTTCAGTGCTGATACAGGAGTTCTGGATGCTTGATCTCTGAAATTCAAAACACACGTGTCGCCACGGGGGGCAGTTTATCTGGTCGCAGATGCTGACGTAAGTGGTGGGGCTTGACTTTCCTGTGGCAAAGCTGCGGGGCTCTCTAGATCTTTCCCTTATGGGTGCCCCTTAACAGGCTCTCCCACGGTGTCCCACTGTGGGCAGGGAGCCAGCTGTTTCTGTCTACGTCCCCTGTCAGTCTGAAGCACTCCCCTCCCTCTGCTCCCCTTACAGTTCCCCCTGGTCCTATTGCCTATCAGTCTCGGTCCTCAGCGAGATCCAACAGCACTCTCTCTCAGTGCCAGTCTCCTTTAGCCCTCTCCCAGGTGTGCAGCCAGCAAACTCCCACAGCCAAGTTGTGCAACCTTTCAAAACATTGGGCTACAAAAGATTAGACAGGCCCATAAAACAAAATGGGGCACACCAGCCCAGGGGCAAGGACTAGAAGGCAGGAGAGGACAGGAAACTGGTAATAGGGAACCCAAGGTCAAGAAGGGAGAGTGTTGACATGTCCTGGGATTGGTAACCAATGTCACAAAACAATATGTGTGCTAACTGCTTAAAGAGAAGCTAGTTGGTTCTGTAAATCTTCATCTAAAGTACAATAAAAAAAGAAAAAGAAAAGAAATGGAGGTCTCAAACCTGGTAACCCCCAGGAGGAAAAAAACTTGGGCCACAGCTTCCTCGGATTAGCTCGCTTTCTGTGCTCCCTGTCTGAGATGTTACCCAGCCCTGTCCCGTAATGGCTGTGATGAGTGAGCACTCCTGAAGTTGGCAGGTAGGTTCTCTCAGCTTTGTGCCATCCCTGCTCCTTCCCTCTCCAGCTTCTGGACACCTCAGCTGCCATGCAGAGTTCTGTGATCTCAGCCTGTGCCTCTTTTTGTTTGTTGTTCGGGGGGCTAGTTGCGGGTGAGTAAACGGGAAGCTTCACTCATCATCTTGCTCTGCCCTTACTCCATAGGGTTTTTGGTGGCCGATTTTTTGGAATTAGATGGCCAGTCCTTTCTTCTGAAGAGCCTCTGGGTGGACTTGGACCACCAACCTTTCAGTCAGCAAGCCGAGCACTGTAACCTCTTGCACCACCCAGGGACTCCTCAGGCACACAATAGGCACTCAATAATAGAGAGTGGGCACAGATGCCTACATTAAGGTCTTATTGTCCTGGTGAGTTGGTTGACAAGACTTAACTAACATGGTGTCATTTAGGCCTTATTTTCTTTACCGACTTCATCAAGATATAGTTTAAGTACCATGAAGTTCACTCGTTTAAAGCGTACAATTCAATGGTCTGTAGTACAGGTAGTCCCTGACTTACAGTGGGGTTCTGTTCTCATGACTCCATCATAAGTCGGTTCTGACATAAGTCAAAAACCTTTTTTTTTTTTAGTTTTCATTAATATTCCTTTTATTATTGGTATCTTTATAAATCCAATCTTTATTTGTCTTTAGGAGTTGGAAAGATTACATATAAACATCAGCAAATTACGCACAACATTGTATATAGTACATGTTACTAACAATAAAAAAAAAAAGACCCGTTGCCATCAAGTCAATTCTGACTCATAGCAACCCTATAGGATGGAGTAGAACTGCCCTATAGGGTTCCCAAGGAGCGGCTGGTGGATTTGAACTGCCAGCCTTTTGGTAAGCAGCCGTAGCTCTTAACTACTGTGCCACCAGGGCTCCATGTACAAAAAAAAAACAGATGGCGATGAGTGGGGTTTGTTGTAACTCGAATATCTTGTAAGTCTGGGACTAACTGCATATTCACAGGGTTGTGCAACCATCACCATAATCTAATTTTAGAACATTGTCATCATCCCAAGTAAAAAACTGTACCCATCAGCAGTCACTCCCCACTCCATGCCTCCCTCCTCCACCCCAGCCCTAGGCAACCACTAATCTACTTTCTATCTCTATAACCAAACAAAAGCAAGCCTATTGCTGTTGAGTCGTCAGACTCATAGTGACCCTATAGGATAGAGTAGAACTGCCCTATAGGGTTTCCAAGGAGCCGGTGGTAGATTTGAACTGCTGACATTTTGGTTAGCAGCAGAGCTCTTAAGCCCTGCGCCACCAGGGCTCCTCTGTCTCCATAGATGCGCCTATTCTGGACGTTTCATCTAAAAGAAATCACACAACCTTTTGTCTTCTCTGCCTGGCTTATTTCACTGGGCATGATGTTACTGAGGTCCATCCATGTCATAGCATGAATCAGTACTTACTCCCTTTTATTGCCAAGTAATGATCCATTGTACTGATACAGTATTGCTCACTATTTCGCCACCTGAGTGACCCACGTGGCCGCGTCCTCCCACTTACCTCATCTGAGGGGAGCCTGACCAGGACGCGTAGAGCAAGATGAGGAAGAGGAGCACCACGAAGGCAGCCAGGCTCACCCAAAAGGCAATGACAATCGAATCTGCAGGGGGCAGAGACGGCAGCTCAGTGTTGGTTTGACACCAACGTAAACCAGCAGCGAGGGAAATAAGGAGCCCCAAGCACTGCAGACGTCCCTGGGTGGCGCAAACGGTTCGCACGCAACTATAACCTAAAGGTTGGAGGTCTGAACCCACCTAGTGGCGCTGCGGAATAAAGGCCTGGCGATCTGCCTCTGCAAAGATTACAGCCAAGAAAACCCTATGGAGCAGTTGTACTCTGTGACATGTGGGGTGGCTGTGAGTTGGGGGCCGAGTCGGCAGCAGCGGGTTATTTTTAAGTAATGCAGAAACAGAGTCCTCGGTGTAGCTACTCTCTCTTCCTGCTTCCGAACTGTTAGCATCGGAAAGACTTCCCATTAACAGAAACCTCGGGAAAGGCCAGAGAAGCAAGGGAGGTGGTTTTTTTCGCAGAGCAACTAGCCGTGGGGCCAGTTTAGGGTGATTCTCTGTTTAGGGAGAAACGGTAAAGGAAATTGTGGGGCCCCGTGGGTCTGCTTTCTTGGCTGCTCCTGCTGTTCAGAGGAAGAATCCTGAAGGACCCCCTCCTTCCCCTTCTCGCCTGGGAGGGAGGGGCAGCACGGAGGGCAAAGGACCGGCAGTGGGCAGCTCCGTGGAGCAGGACAGACTCCATCCCCTGTGAGGGTGGAGCGCCCCCAGGGCATTTAGTGACTGGCTTCAGAGACCCCAAGAGTCCGAGACTAGAACAGTGTGTGCACTAGACTAGAACACAGAGCCAGCGTCTTACTGCTCGGAAGGAGGCCAGGGAGTCAGTGAGGGGAATGAGTTTGCCTCTCTCTCAAGGTGGGAGGGCTGAGCTGAGGGTCAGGGCCAGGCAGGAAGAGGCACCTTTGCAGCCAATGTTATGGCTGATTTTGTGGCCCCAGGCTGAAGGGAAACCAGGAAACACACTCGGCCTCTTAGGGGCCCTGGGTAGAACCTGGCAGGTCAGGAGGTGCCTCTCCAGGGCTCCAGTTCAGGAACATTCGGCAAGTTGCTAAGGGCCTGCTGCAATATAGCACTTCTTCTTGGTGTGTGTCTGTGACTGGAATCCCTGGGTGGTGCAGTGAATGAGCTTGGCTGCTAACTGGAAGGTTAGAGGGTCAAGTCCACCCAGAGGCACCTCGGAAGAAAGGCCTGGAGATCTACTTCTGAAATATCAGCCCCTGAAAACCCTATGAAGCACAGTTCTACTCTGACACACACGGGGTCGTCATGAGTCGGCCACTTGACGGCAACTGTTTTGGTGTGTGACTGGGCACGGAGCATCGGCCTGTGATTAGAGTCTACAGGTATCTTATCCCAGACAAGCTGGATGACCCCAGGGAAGCTGGATGACCCCAGACAAGCTGGATGACCCCAGACGAGC